TTTATACAAGAGCATACATTTGCTGGCTAAAATGAGATTATCCCCACCTAACCTCCACATCCTACTATAATCATCTGCATTTCCGTAGGGTAACCCCCACCCTACACAGCCTGCTAAAATCATTTACATTTCAACACTCGCATTGTTCTTCGATCAGTTCCTACTTCCCATTCTTAGGAGGTTTCCTGCAGTTGAGACAACCCTTGGTTGGCCTCAGATTGCAAGGACCTTGTCAGCTTGCAACCTGCTCTCCACAGTTGATAATGCCCAGTGTTGCATGTCATGAGCATAAACACAGATGCTACATGAGCATAGACACAGGATGCTACCTGAGCATAAAAGAGGGCACCTAACCTGACCTAAAGCAAAGAAGAATGTCTCTGGAAGCCAGCCGGAGAGAGGATAAGGTGCCCCAAATGGAGGAAACAGCTGTGGCAGGTCTCAGAGGCAATAGAGATCATGGGGGCTGAAAGAATTTTGGTTCTGTCAGAGAACAGAATGCAGGGGAGCGAGGAACCCAGGTCCCTGGGCTTGGTGATCTCTGCTTGACATTATCCCAGAGCAATGGGGAGCCCCTGAAAAGCATTAAGCAGTGAAACTTTTTAAAAAGTATTTAAAGAACTTGAGTGCTGTAATTTTGGCTTGAGTGAGATGGATCTTAGTGTTACCCACATAGAGAGAGAACACAGGTGTAGTCTGTTAGTTTGAGGTGTAAGCTCTCCAGGTGATGTCGAGAGTGGAGTTAATCTTAACAGTCTCCTATTTTCCCACACAATGCCTTTCTGAAATTCTCATTAAATATGCAAGGGACCAATATTATTTTATTGTTTCTGGAAAATTTTGAAAAAGAAACCCCTAAACATATTTTGTGCTTAAGATATAATTTCAATTTTGTTCTTTCTCTTCTAGATTAAACAAAGTTAACTAGCTGAAGTCTAATTAACTCTTTTTTCGATGTCAATGACTTGCCCCTTGAGTCTGCTCAGTAATTCCCATGGCTTAACTCCATGAAAGTGATGAGATCTGCACTTCTCGTCATTAATATTATCACTATTATTTTCCAGTTTCCACTAACTTTCCCAAAATAATAAAGGCAAATAATGAAATTGGAGAATTTGGTGACTACCTCATAAGTTGCCTTCAGCTCTCAAGTAAATGGCTACTTCTGGGAGGTCGTCCCAAGGTGCCTGTGAGTTGGGTGCTCTTTCATGTGTTACCATAAAGCAGCACCTGTACTTTCCCTGTGCTGTACTCCTCACACTTTTGGTATAACAGCTTGTTCACTTCATTTAAGATTATCTTTCTGTCAAAACAGGAACCCATTGCCTTCTTCTTGATTACATTCTCAAGACTTGGCAGAGTTCAGTCCATCTGGAATGAATGAATTACTCCATGAAGTACATATCATCATCCCCATTTCAAAGATTAAAAAACAAGCTTAGATAAGTTAATATTTGCTAATGATTAAATACTGGTGAATGGTTGGAATCAGGACTGAACCCAGTCTCTCGAACCTTGAAGTCAATCCTACAGCCCTACTAATTATCTCTGACTACCAGTGACTATTTTGATGAGGAATTTTTAACTAATTTTAACTTTAAAAGAAAAAATCCCACCAGTGAAAGGAATAGGCAGACATATTTGTGGCAAGTTCAGCTTCCCCTACTGAACACCTGGAGTGTTCATATGAGATAACGGTGAGGACACCTGAGAGTAGTCCCACTGAGTCTCTGCTCTGCAATGTGGCTCCACTGTTTCAATCTATGACCAAATGTTAAATAATATCACTGAGAAGTTGCAGTAGGTAGTATGTTCCACGTGCATGCCCTATAAGGGATTTGGGAACATAGTAATTCCCAAAATGTGCTCTGTGGCCCTGAGTCCAAGTGAATTAGAAAAAAAGAGTAGGAGGCCCCTCCCTCACCTGCTTCAGTCTTTGTTCCAATGTGCTCTCCTTAGGGAGGCTGTCCCTGGACACCCCACTGGACCTTAGCATCCATTACTCCCTTCTCTGCTTTGTTCTCCTCCTTAGCACTTATCACTGTCTAGTTAATAATTCATTTTGCTGAAGATATGTTTTGTTTATTGTCAGTACTTCCCACTAGAATGTAAGTTCAACGAGGGCAGGGAAATGCATTTGTTTTCTTTGACATTTCCCCATTACCTGGAGCAGTACCTGAGACATAGGTCCTCAGTAAATATTTATTGACCGAGCTGTGTTTATCACACTATCAATGATATTTTGATATCACACTATCAAAGAGATAAGTAAAAGGTTATTGATAATAACAGCCTGGTGAGTGAGAAAATCTGTTGAATTTGATTTCAACTGATGTAACAGTGTCTCAGTCCATTTGGGCTGCTATAATAAAATACCATAGGCTGGGTGGCTTATAAACAACAGAAATTTATTTCTCACAATCTTGGAGGCTGAAAATCCAAGATCAAGGCACTGGCAGATTTGGATCTGGTGAGGGAAATTTCTGGTTCATAGACTGCCATCTTTTCTCTGTAACCTCACATGGCAGAAGGGAGAAGGGATATTTCTCAAGCCTCTTTTAAAAGGTCACTAATTCCATAAGTCACCTTCTAAAGGGTTATGTTTCCTAATACTATCACCTTGGGGGGTAGGATTTCAACATATGAATCTTGAGAAGGGGCAAGGGACACAAACATTTCAACCATAGCACCCAGGAAGGGTGTTCTGACATACTGCCCAAGGCCTGTGAACAAAAAGCACGCTAATGGAGACCTTTGCCCAATTCTGATTGGCTGCTGGGTACCTGTGTACCCCTCCTATCTATACAGTCTATTCTGCTCGTTTTCCTGGTTTCCAAAGGGTGCCATAAAAAATTTCCATGAGAAAGTTAAAATAATATAATTTCAAATACTTAGAGGGCTAACACTATATTACTCCCACTTGGTTTCCTTTCCATTGGGTTAGGAACAATACTCCCTCAGATCTTCAATCTGCTTCACAGACACACACATGGAAAATTCCCCATTGATTATTGGGGATTATTTTATACAGAGTGTGCCACATGTTTGATGCTTTGCTACATCCTTCTCCTCTTCTCCTGAACTCATCATGCTTCTGGCAGCCACTGGGCTTAGGATTACAGGTAAAATAAAAATGTCTCCGAGCATGACAGAGAAGGAAAAAAATGAGGAAAAAAAAAAAAAAAAGACAAAGAGAAGAAAAAACAAAAATGATAAAGATTATGAGAACACAAGCAGTTCTGGCTGTTCAGAAGATGTGTGGGAGCAAAGGTAAAGACCAAGGTGGGAATACAGAGGGGCAGACCCTGATGCACCACTCATTGACACTTTTGTAATTTTTTTATATATGAAAATCATTTTCATTTCTATGATCTCATTTTGCATATCACAACCACTCCGGTGAATGGCACATTCTTTTTCTACTTTACTGATGAGAAAACCAAAGCATGAAAAGTTTTAGTGATTTTCTCAAGGTCACAAAATTCTAATTTGCTCCACATTCAAAATAGGCTTTTTATATCACACAGCAAAATTCAGTAATTGCTTTTCTAGCATTTCAGTTTGTAAGCTAATACCATGTATAGTCTATCAGGCCACATACATACTTTCTTTTATTTTATACTTGGATCATACGAATATTTCAGTGTTTTTATTTAGCTACAACTTCTCTAAATTTTATTGCTCATGTTTAAGCATTTGACTAAAATATGGCAAAACTGCTCCTCTTTTTAAGGAGTTCGAAATGTTTTTCATGGACGGAAATATGTCATGTGAATAAAGATGAAAGCAGCTTTGTTGTACTTCTCTTCTGGGAATCTTTCTAGAGATATTACTAAAGTCAAGAATAGGTCAGAAATGAAGAAAAGATAGGAACATAAAGAATAGCTTTCATGGAAAATTGACATAATTCTTTTTAAATTTACAATTTCCACCTGATGATAGATCCCCAGCCACGGTAGGATTTTGATGCAACTGTGATTGATGTCAGCAGGTCCAGACAGTGATATTTTCTTACAAATTTAATGAACATGTATAAAGCTGATTCAATGGAAGCAGCCCTGGATTAAATGGAGTCAGAAGATATAAAAGAAAGATGCAAACTGTGAAGGGTTTTTTGACCAGCTAGTGATTGAAATTCCACTGAGATGAGTTGTTGCACACCCACAACATGTGAGTTTCTCTCAATGCCATCATGTCACACCTGCCTTCCACAAACCCTGAGTGGAATGGGTTAGGGGATAGGGACTGTTTCTGTTGCAAGAAGAGGATATCTGGAATGACCAGAAGGCTACCCCAACTTTGCACCCAGGCCTTCCATATCAAAGTAAAGAGCTCCTGTCACTAACCCAGACAGGAAACAGGTAGAGGATAATTGAGTCACAGCCTAAAGTTGGAACACAAGTCCAAGGTGCACATTCATGTTTTCTTCAATGGTACAAGAACTGAGAATGAGGACAAGAGTTGTGTGGGTTATAATGGGTTATGTTTCATAGAGAAGACAAAATATGAACATTTTAGTGTTTCTTTAACAAGTGAAGTGGTGCAGAAATATTTCTGAGGAGGAAACACCTTTTTCATAGAGAGTTTGCTTAACTAGTTAACTGAACTTTTCTTTCTGGGCTAAATGCAGTCACTTCTATTTTATATCCTGAATTGTCTCTCCCTCCTGGTGGAGACATGTGAGCACTGCCACAGGCCTGGAATGTCCCAAGAGGGTAAGAATAGCCCACAATGAGAGATGACTCCTGCTGTCTTATGGTTACTGCAGTTGTCAGGAATGCTTTTCCTTAGAGGCAAACAGCTCCAGGACGTCTCAACTTGGAGACAGAAAAACTGACCTCTTGCTCCTGGGCTCAAATCTTTCCTTTTATATCTCCAGCTCTCACTTGTAAGTCTTTTGTAGCTAAGATACATTTATTCCTGCAAAGATTTCCCTCTGCCTTGGAGATCACAGGCTTTCAACAGTTCCAGCAGTGTTAAGACTGCGACATTCTGGAAGCATGGACCGTTTGGACTTGCTGGGGTTCCTCATCATTACATTAAATTGCAACATGACCATTGTGGGTGAGTATAGGAAACACCCGCAGAGCTCTTATTCTGTTTCTCATTTTCATAGGTTTGCCTGTCCTATCCCCAGGAGAAAGGCCTAAGTTCTGCTGGAGCAAAGAGAGCTATGGGTTCAAGATTCTTCTAATTGCTCCTCAGTTCCACCAACATTTAAGGAAATCTTGAGTGTGCATGTGTTTCTCTCACAGGGCCTCTTCACTCTGACATTCTGGTGCTGAATCTGAAGACTGAAGCAGATGAACGAGGTGTTGTTATATAACTCTTCTCTGGCCACATTACCAGGAAAAGGAACAATACAGTAAACGTTAAAGAGAAATTAGTGTCTCAATTATGCTTTCTTCTTGTTCATCTATTTAGCGTGTAATCTTGAAGCTTAATTTGTAGAGATTAGCAATTTCTCTTGTGTGCTTTAAATCAAATCCCAATTTTAGTTTTTTCTTTTTTTTTTTTTTTAATTTTTTAGGTGAGGCAACCTTTGGTAGACCTCATAGTCTGCAAGGAACTTGTCAGCTTATAATCCCCTTATTTTATTTTTTTATTTGTTTACGCCTACAGCACCAAGTTTAGTTACTTTTTTAACAAAGAAAATAATAAGGATTTCTGAGTTTAGTGCAGACAAGTCAAATGTTTTTAGAGGCATAAACGTCCTCGAAAAAGGGATTGAGAAAAGGGTTAAAATATGTCCACAAAGTCATTGATATTTCTCTAACTTGTTATTTTCTAGAATATAAACAAAATCATTTTGGTCTTAAAAGTTTGAGTCAATGACTTTATTATGTAATGATATATTTTAACTGCCTTCATTTATAATAAAGTTTTATTTTTCTGTTTTCAGGTGATGTTTTCTGTATCTTATCACAAAACAAAATATTAACAAATTATTTTGACCTAGTCTTAAATATGTTCCAAAATAGTTTGCTCATGACATGAAAAGAGGACTTTTGAAGTTATTTTGATTCCCTGGCTTGGTCATATTTATTCAGAATAAGTTGAAAAAAGACAAACCTCATTAATTCATAACAATTGAAATAGGGGAAAAAGAATTCTGAATTACTGAAAACTCTGAGAAATTGAAGGTTCGTAAAGATATCTGATTTCAAGGACCATAAAGAAACATTACATACAAACCCCATTATTAAATTAGGTCTTCCGGACCATTATCATAAAAAAAAAAAGTGAACTTAACAGTTTTATCAGCTATACAGAGTTACAGGAATGTTCTAACATTCTTTTAAAAGCTTATTTTCCTAAGAAGAGTAAGATCTTTTTTGCTTATTAATTTGCTCAGCTCAACTTTCTTTCTAGATCTTTCAGTCCAGGAGACATTACCAAAGGTCTGAACTAGCAGTCAGAGTAAACATTTTTAGTATCTATCCTTCTTTAAAATCTGCTAATCTCAAAGCATTTCACAATGTGAACAAGTAGTTCACAATGTGTCTGACACATTGAAAATGCTCAATAAATATTTGTCAGTTGTGCTAACTAGCTGATACCGTTGCTGTTACTAAAATGCATGCTTTTGGACTTCTCACTTCACTCTCAGCCCCAGTAAATACTTAAACACTATTGTTAGGAGGAAGTATGTTTGGATGATGGTGACGATGCCCGTCCTCCTCCTCTTTCTCAGGGAAGATCTGGCTTATCTTCATGATCTTGCTGAGGATGGTGGTGATTCTCGTGGCCGGGTCCCCTGTCTACCAGGACGAGCAGGAGAGGTTTGTGTGCAACACTCTACAGCCAGGGTGCGCCAATGTCTGCTATGATATTTTCTCCCCTGTGTCCCACCTTCGCTTCTGGCTGGTCCAAAGCATTTCTGTCCTCCTCCCTTCTGCGGTTTTCAGTGTCTATGTGCTGCACAAAGGATCCGAGCTCGTCGCCCGGGAACCTTTCGAGCCAGATGGCTGTCCCGGGTGCCAGGACCACGCTGACTCGAGCCCTGGGGATAATCGCTGCCTGCTGCCCTGCAGAGAAGGGCGCAGCCTGTTGGTGCCAGATTTCTCCTCAGGCTACATCGTGCACCTCTGTCTGAGGACCCTGATAGAGGCAGCTTTCGGGGCCTTGCATTACCTCCTCTTCGGATTCTCGGTCCCTAACAGGTTCTTCTGCACCCACTCTCCCTGCTCTGGCGCGGTGGACTGCTACGTCTCTCGGCCCACGGAAAAATCAATCCTGATGCTCTTCCTCTGGGCGCTCAGCGCACTCTCGATGCTGCTCAGCGTGGCCGACCTACTCTGCAGCGCGCGCAGGAGGACGCTCGGGGGACCCGGCAGGGCAGGGAGGAGGGCGGATCCCGCGGCTCCCACAGCGCGGTGGGAGGAAAGGGCGGCGCTCGCGCACCCTGGCAGGTGGACCGGAGGGAAAGGTGCCCACAGCCCCAGTGGTCAGTCTGCTGTGTCCCGGCAGATAGAGCTTCAAGATGAGGACGAGAGTGAGGGGCTGTCTTCAGCCAGCGACAAGCTGCCTAGGGCTCGCACAAAGCCTAGGGGCAGGCCCCTCAGAAGGGACCCCCAGGACCCCAGCAGCGAGCATTCCTTAACATTCTGCAGTCAGTCGGCCCGGCACTCTCCGTCCAGTCCGCGGCAGCCCCATGCCGGGCCGGCGGGCACTGGGAGCGCCCCGCTCCTGGGGACCAGAAGGTCCGAATGGGTGTGAGGAGGGCGTCCAGGCAGTGCAGCGACCGACGCTTCATTCAGTACTGGCGCCACCATTCTGTCCAAAAAGAGACGCGGGGCCGAAGAAGATGAAGCATCACCTTGACATGTGGGAAATTTTATCTCCACAATGTTCCTAGAGAATATTAAATGTTCTCTTACATCATTAGGCTCATTTACTGTTTTAATGTTTTCTGGCGAATTATTATGATTTTTTTTTTGGTTTCTTTGTTTTTCTACTTTGATAAAAGAGGCATTTTCTGCATGTCATCGATAGAGAGATATTAGTTTAACTTCTCGAAACCCCTTTAATAAAATTAATGCTGATTGCATTGTGATCTTCCACTTTATACTTCATTGTGTTATAGGAGAAATGACGAATGCAGAAAATATGGCTAGTAAATAATTGGGGCCTTTGGGGGCATCTTCTGTGGTTATTGCATGTGGGTAGAAGGTGCACAGGATGTGGAGTGGGTCCTGGCTTGCTTGGTTGTTCCTGTGTGTGTCTCTGAGTGGCTGTCCTTACTGAGTAGAGGCAGAACTTGTGCTGTTGATGAGTGGCTGTGGAGTTGTCCCATGTTTTCTAGGCTGGGTTTTGTCTGTGTCCTTTAGAGAGTTGTACAATTCAGGTTGTCCTGAGAGTCTTCATGTTTCAGTGGAACAGATGAGAAACACTGGGAGTATTGAGGCTTCACAGTTTGTGCTCCTGCTTTCTGTGCATAAACTAGAAACAGCTGCCTCTGCTTGTGGTACGGGCTGCCTATAAGCGCCTCTCTGCACTTTTCTGCATTGCTCTGGTTTGTGTGACTCTGTTACAGCTTCAATGCTACCTTTAACTGCCTGATAGGAGGATGCTTTGTAGTAGAAAGAGCTACTATGGGACAGGATAAACCTGCAAACTTTCATCAAGAGAGGAGGAAGAACCATCTGGTATACTTTCAGAATTTACAAATATAAATATCCTCTGGTCCCCAAACACAAAATGGTCAAGGAAGAGGAATTGCCTTCGCCCATTCAAATAATAAAAAAAGATGAACAAATGAACTCATGAAACCAATGGAAACTTTTAATCGTTCTAAAGAAAACTTTGACAGTGAAATATCTACCAGGATTGAGAATAACATCCTACTTGATATATCTGCAGGATGTCAAAGCAATTGGTTAAAAATTAAAATAATCATTCAAAATTGGTTTAGACATAAAGTTATTTGAATGATTGTACCTATATTTAACATATACAGTCTCTCTCTCTCTCTCTCTCTCTCTCCCCCCCCCACCCCGCCCCTCAATTCATTGAAACCATAAGCCATAACTCAGATCTTTTTCTTCAGCACTTGGATCAATGTCTGCATATAGCAAGTGCTCAGTACATGTGATTTTTAAGTCTGATATTCCCAAACTATTCAGGAGCAAATCTGCTCTTATCCCTTTCAGCATGCAATTATGGTGGGCTTCTCAAGGTTGGGCATAGTCTTAAGAGATATAAGGATTCTCTGAGGCTTCATTACTAGTTCAAAAGTAAGCTCCACAGTCCCCTCAAGCACCCCCAGTATTAGCATTGATAATATTGAGTAATGGAATCAACTCGGTATTGATGATGTGTGCTCATGCAGGATGCCCAGATAATAGCTGGGAAAAAAAGGTGGCAATGCTGAGCTGGGGTTTCCTCTCGGCCATGCCCCCAGTGAGAACTAGGCAGAGCCATCCTTCTCCTACTGGAGTTCATGCTCAAGTTTAGGTTTATAAACAAGTGTGATTTTATTTGGATGGCATTGGGAAGGGCTGCTTTGGCTTCTCTGCTGATATCCACAATCTCACTATCAGAGAGTCAGAGCTTTTGAGTTTGTTCCTTGGAAAAATGTTCATACTATTCAGAGCAATGGGTACTTAGAGGGAAGCAGAGGGATAAGTTCACTGTTACTTAGAAGGTCATTTCATTCCTCTGGGCCTAATTTTCCTTCTCTGAGTGACAAAGTACCCAGACTAGTTGATTCCTTAGTAGTCTACAAGTTTAGGAATCCACCAATGAGATGTGCAACTGTCAGTCATTTTAATCTAATGGGGTTAATTTATTAGGTCCTTCCAGCCTACTAACTGCCTAAGCACAGGTTTTGATAAGATGAACGTGGTCAAAACAAAAGAGGCCTACATGTCCTGGGAAGAGCTGCATGGGAAAGTGATGGGGAAACCATGAGGGGACTCTGAAGACAATTCACTGACTTCACACTCTATTGAGTGATGGCAGAGGGCTTAGGGGACAGAACTGGGGTGATCTGATGTGACATAGTCCTGTGAGGAACAAGCTTGCAGATGAGGCTTTGAGTGTTCTAAAATCTGGTCGGCTGTGTTAGTTTAACTGTGAATGCATTGTCAGAACATGAAGAGGAAGGCAACCCTTTCTCTTCTCTTTGCTCTCATGCAAGACATTGCAAATCTCTCCCAGTTTTGTAGCTATTCAGAAAAACCTGTGGCTATCAATTTTCTTTTTCAAGATTTTAATTTGCTTCTATGTCTCTTTGACACACTGGATAAATGAAAAATGGTTGACGGGTTTGTACCCATACTCCAGAGAGTTACTGGATTGTCATTGCCTAAGTCAGAGATAGTGGCAAGTTAAGGTAATTATAGCTACTGTAACAGGAAAATGCCAACCTTAGCCACTTAACAGAAGTTTCATAAGATGCAAAGTGAGTGTTCCTGATTGATGGGCAGATTTCCTCTGGGGAGTGACTCAGGGATCCTTTCCTCATCTTCCACTGATGGGGCCAAGATTGCTGTGTCAGGGGCAAAGCCAGTGCCATAGGTCAGACCTGGAGAGGACACCAGCACACCTGGCCACATTCTCCTTCAAAAAGTCAGTCTCGGCTGCTCCAGGACCTGTTAAAGGCAGCCTAATTACGTGCCCAGAAAGAAGGAGGAAAAATTTGGCCAACAACTAGCCAGTGTTTGCCTTGGGCAGCAACTATTTTCTGGGCACCTGACCCATAAGAGGCATTTAATAGATCTTTAGTGGCCAATGCACTAGTCTCAGAGGAGGGAAAGCTAAGCAAATATGTTAGCTTAGGTCCTTGGATCCATTGAGACTGGAGAGAAGGGAAAGGAGGTGACAGTTTGAAAAAAACTGCCTGAACTGAGCCTAGGATCCAAATCTCTTATACTTAGGGAGTGTCCTCTTAAATACAATCATTTCAAATAAGAAAAGATCTTAGTTGGTTTAAGTGTGTGTATGCATGTGTCTTTGTTTCTCTCTTCAGTCTTTGCACAGTATGAAAAGTTCATTAGATACTGTTTAAGACTAACTTTCCAGGAACTTTAATTTAGAAACCTTCCCAGGCTAGTGTCCAGGTGGATCCTCAGGTGGTCCAACAGTGGTGGGAACCCACTGGTGGAATCCAAATGCTGAACCAATATGTACTGCAGCTGACTACCTGCCGAGATAAACACAAAAGATTATGAGAATCAACGAGATTATGATTGTGCTTTGCCAAGAAAAGTATTATTTACAGAATTAATAAATGTCTTTTTTTTTTTTGGTAGGATTTGCAATCTATTATGAGAGCCTATTTCAAATTTTCTGACTGTAAATTTGGTTTTGGGCAAGAAATGATGAAGATGATGGTGCTTTGTAGATGAGGAGAGGGGCAGCTGGGCTTCTCAGGTACAGACTTGCCAAGTATCTCTTACAATGGAAATGCCTGCCACCCGTATCTTCAGTGTTCTGAACCCTCCAGGGCCTGGGTTAGCAGCGGAGTCTGTAAATCCTGTTGATTCTATTTTGGTTATGCTGTGGGATAAATGCTTCCTAAAAATGAAATAGATGTCTCTACCCTATTGAAATATATGTATACATATATATATATTTTTTTTCTCTCCTGTCAGTCATAGAGCCAATCTCTTCCTCTGTGCTGAGATCTAAATGAGATATATAAATGACAGAAAGTAGAGCCAAAAGAAGTGACTAAATTTTCTCATAAGCTGAAATCAGGTGAAATGAATTTCATGGAGAATTCAGGAAATTATAAGTCAAATGCAAAAACTAGATGTTAGTAACAAGAGTTCCCTTTTTCCCCAGACAGGTGTTGTAGAGAAGTACACGATATGTTTATTTATTTTTGTTTTTTTAATTTTTATTTTTTTTAAATTAAAATTATTTGGGTGATATGGGTTAATAAAATCATATAGATTTTAAGTGTACAATTCAATAATACGTCATATGTGTATTGTATTGTGTGTTCACCACCCAAAATTAAATTTCCTTTCGTCACCATATATTTCATCCCCTTTATCCTTATCTACCTTCTTCTTTCCCCATTTTCTCTGGTAACCACTAATCCTCTGTCAGTGTCCACAGGTCTCTATTTGTCATGTTTGTTGCTTTCAGTTTTTTATCTACCATATAAGTGAAATTATATGGTTCTCAATTTTTCTATCTGATTTATTTTGCTTAGCATGATAATCTCAAGATCCATCCTTGTCGTCTCAAATGACAGTATTTTATCTTTTCTTATGGCTAAGTAATATATGCCATTATCTATTGAAGGATACTTCAGTTGTTTTCATGTCTTGACCATTGTAAATGCTGCTATAAACATTGGGGTGTGTGTATCTTTGGAAATAAAAGTTTTCAAATTTTTTGGGTATCCAGAAAAGAGATTGATGGGTCATATGGTAGTTCTAGTCTTATTTTTTTGAGGAACCTCCTTACTGTTTTCCATAGTGGTCGTATCAATTTACATTTCTACCAGCAGTGTATGAAAGTTCCTTTTTCCCCACCACCTCTTCAACATTTGTTACTGTAAGGTGGTATCTCATTGTGGTTTTGAGTTACATTTTCTTAATAGCTAGCAAAGTTGAGTACATTTTCATATGTCTGTTGGCCATTTGTATGTCTTCTTGAGAGAAATGTCTGTTCAGGTTCTTTGCCCATTTTTTATTGGATTTTTTTTTTTTATTGTTGACTTGTGTGAGTTCTGTGTATATTTTGGATACTAGGCCCTTATA